GGGCGAGGCCGCGGCCACTGGCCCCCGGGCTCCACTCCGCGCCAGGCCAGAAACGCGCAGAAGCCCGACGCCAGGCGCTGCCGCTGCCTCCCCACAGCCCACAGGGCGCTGTCTGGTTTCTTCTGGGGAGAAAACAGGCGAGGGGAATACCCAGACTGCTCCTGGTAGAGGCTGTGGCCAGAGAGGCGCGGGCACTTGTGGGTGTGGACGCCTCTCAGGAGCGAGACGGGGGAGGGGGAGCGTCTCGCCACGCCCCGGCTGTCCCCTGCACCCGGAACCAGAGGCCTGACCCCGCAGCCCGACGGCTTTGCCCCTCGCCGGCCTGAGCCGTCTCGGAGTGGACTGCCCAAAACTTGGCCCTGTCCTGTTTACTCCAGAGGCAGCGGCAGGCAGAGTGGGCATGACCTGGGGGCGTTTCCTGCCCACGCTTTATTTGATTTTTAAGTCGCTCTTTGTTTTCCGGTGCTCCGACTGGGGCTCCCCCATCCCGAGAGGGCGCCCCAGGGCCGCAGGTGGGTGGCGAGCCGCCCGCGCTTCCCACGCAGACAGCCAAGGCAGAGGCCGCGCCGCACCAGCCTCCAACTCTCCGGGCCCCTTCCCTGACCCGGACCAGCCTGGGGCGAGGCCAGCTCGCCCCGGTAGCCCGGCTGAACTCCTGAGTGGGGACGCTCTAAGCTCCCCCCTGGCCTGCCCCGCCTCGCCGCCCCCGCGCCTCCCTCTGCAATCACAGTAGAACCCCATGCCTCCGCCTCACGCCTGCCCCCCGCCCGGCCCCGTGCGCCCCCTCTTCTTGGGAGCCCTGAGTAATGGAAGCTCTCTGTATCCGTCCCCTTCCGCACCTGGTGAAAACAACCTCAGGATGACTTGGGGTAGGCCGCAGGTGAGAGAGCAGGCGGGCCAGGAGAGGCGGCGCTGCCCGGGGCCTTACAGCGGGCACGGAGGCCCTCTTGCGGGGGCTCCCCCCAGCTGGGCCCAGGGTCACCAGACCGAGTGGCCGAGTGGCTGTGCCTATGTGCGGCAAGACCCGCAAATTTGGACTGGTGACACTCAGTGGTCATTCCCGAGAGAGCTGTCCACTCGGGACACGCTGTGTCTGGAAAACCTGCCGTCGGGCAGGGTGCGCGCTTCCCCCTAGGTATGGGTGGCGGGCGACCTGGATTCTAGTCCAGGTTCTGTTTCCACCTTTCTGGAGGAGGGGGCTGGTGGGGGTGTCGGGGTAGCGGAGAGATAGCGGTGGGGACGGCAACGTGACCAGCGCATCGAGTGTCACTCCCGTTTGCAGAGGGGACACCGAGACTCAGAGAGGTGGATTCACCTTCGGAGCTGGGGCTGAGCCCTGGCCTGTGGGCCTCCGCCTCGGTCGGGGCGGGGCGGGCCGCTGGGGCTTGTGTCCCTGTGTGCTCCCACCCGCGCTCGGAGGCCCTCATTCCCTGCGGGGCCGCGCTCAGGCCCGCGCTTGCTAAGTACCTGCGAGTGAGATCACACATGTGGGGGTGAAGCCAGAAGAAGAGAGGGGAGTCTGAGTTGAGGATTCTGGTGCTCAGGGACCCCCAAGCCCAGCACTCTTGGGTCGGTCACCAGGGAGCCAAGGCCCCGGGGGCACCTCAGCCTGCAGGTGGCGCCTTCTGCTTTGTCCCTCCCCGCTGGTCCCTGAGGGGCAGGGGGGCCTCCCTGAGACGCCCCAGCCCCGTCTTCGGCACTGACTCCCTGGGCCCGAGCCGTCGCCCCGGGCCGGCTTCTGCCTCGCTGCACAGCTCTGCCTGGAGCACTCTGTAGAACCCTTCTCTGGCGCAATGGTAAAGGCCTGCACGCTGGTCGCAGCCGCCTCAGTGCGAGTTCGATCCCTGCCCGGAGGTGACCCCCAGAGTGGGCAGGCCTCTCCTGACCCGCCCGCTGCCCCCCTCAGCAGTGGGCTTGTCAGTCGGCCGGTTCTGCTCCCTGCTCTGCCTCTGGTGAAGCCTCTCACCGCCTCTGCCCCTCTGGCCTGTGCCCCAGTTCTGTGTGCATACAGCAATAAATATTTTAAAAAGAGCCCTTGCGCTATACCACAGCCCGCTGACCAGTTTCCCACTAGAACACCAGCTCCCCGCTACAGCCGGGGTCGCAGAGGGGCCTTGCCGGGGAAGCCCTTGCTCGCTGGTCAGGGTGGCCCAGGGGCAGGGAGTGAAGGGGCGGGGCGGGAGGCGAGTGTGGCGGGCAGGGCTGCCCTCTAGTGGCTGAGCCCTGCCCGAAGGCCGCAGGGGCTCAGGGGCTCCTGCCCAGCCTCTCCACCCAGGACTCACTTTGATCTCAATCTGCTCCTCCATCTCCTTGCTCTTCATGGCTGCGTACTCCTTCTCCAGCCTGCAGAGGGGCCAACGTGTCACCTCCCAGTCTTGGGGGACCCGTCCCACCTACCCTGGGCTCCCAGTACTGACCTCTTCATCTTCTTGGGGTTGTACTTGACCTGGTAAGCCTTGAGGATCAGCTTGTCGGGACAGCTGTCGAACTGGTGGGGGATCACCCTCTGGAAGTACTGTGGGGACACAGGTGGTCGTCGACACGTGACCCTCCTTGCAGGGGCCGTGGGCCCCAGGTGAGGGCCTGGGTGTGCCGGGGGCAGGGAAGTGGCGGTCTCCCGGGGCATCATGTGTCCCGGTGCGACAGGCCCACTGCCACCGGGGAGACGCGCTGCCTGCGTCAGGGCTTCAGTGTGCGGGGGCACCAGGTGCCAGGGCCCACGGGTGGAGGTGGGGTGGGGTGGTGTCTGAGTAGAGGGGACCTTGGTGGAGGAGGGGGAGGCAGGATGCTGCCCCAGGAAGTGATCCCACACGACCAATTCAGTCAGGATCCAGAAGAGACCAGAGGCTTCGGAGTCAGCGCGCGAGAGCACCCCAATGGGAAGACCCCTCAGCGGCCTGCCTGCTCCCGGGGCCTCGGAGCCTCTGCAAAGGGTTAAGCACAAGCCGCAGTGGACACAGCTTGCTGCAGCTCGGGGCCAGACGGGCTCCCACTCCGCAGCCCAGCTGGCCCCCTCGGCAGTGTGGACAATGGCTGCCCGTGTCCTGAACACAACCGTGGCCTTTATGCATTCTTCCCCGGAGCACCAGCTGGGAGGTGCAGGGGGAGGGGGGCAGGGGCCTGCCGGCCGCGACGCACAGTGAGCGGCAGCCATTTCTGCAGCGGCAGGCAGGGCAGCCAGACGGGGCCAGGGCGGCTGCCCGATCCCCGCCCCCCACTTCCTCCCGTGCCCCTGCAGGCCACGCTGCGGTGGCCAAACCACACCCAAAGCCTCACGGCCTGGCCGGTTTTACTATCTGCCCGTGGGGGTGTTTGGCCCGTGTGGCTCGGGGGGCCTGAGACGAGGGCAGAAGATGTGCACCTCCCGGGGCGAGGCCTTCTCTCCCCACTGCCCGGCTGCTGCCCCGGGGCCGAGTTTGGTGAAGCTGCGGTCCCCAGGCCCTACCCTGGGCCTCCCGGGAGGCCTTGGGGGACAGAGGTGGGCCAGGGTCAGGGGTGTTCAGGAATTCCCTCCTCAAAGCTGGGCGCTCCCTGATCTCTCAGCCGGGCTTCACCTGCCCAGGGTCCTCCTGGTCCTGCTGGCCTACCTGGGACATCCCCTCCATGTCCAGCTGCATCAGCTCCGACTGGTTCACCTGCAGCAGCGCGAGACCCACCCGGAACACGATCTCCAGGCCCTGCGGGGGCGGGGGGCAGTGGGTCTCTGCTCCTGCACCCCCCAGAGCTCTCGAGCCCCTCCCCAAGCCCTGGCCCTTGCAAGACTGGTCAGGGATGTCTCCGCTGCGGGTGTCTTCCAGAGGGCGCGGGGCTCTCACCTCGTACATGAAGATGTCAAAGACGCGGGTGGCCACGGGCAGCGGGAAGGTGGTCAGGAAGAGCGTGAGGAACCAGGACGAGGCATACATGGACGTGTGGAAGCTCTGGGAGCGGAAGTGGGTGTTCAGGTCCGGGAGCTGCTCCTGTTTGGTTGGGAGGGGGCTGCACAGTGAGGGCGCCGGGCGGGACTCTGCTCACAAGCCGCCGACCGAAGCACTGGCCTGGCGCCCTCCCCAGGGAGCCTCCCTGCCCGGCCGTGGGCCTAGGCGCTGCTGGCCGAGTCTGGGCGGGGCGCGGGCAGAGTGAGGCGGACGCGGCAGGTGCAGAAGCTAGCGCTGGGCGGCGCCACGCCTGCCTGAGGGGAGCTTTGGGGGCTCAGGGCGGTTCACGAAACTCCCCGGCTGGCCTGAGACAAGGGGCAGCACAAGTCCACCGCTGCCCAACCGCGCTGCAGGAAGTGCCAGGGGCTGTGCCCCCACCGCGCCCCCACAGCGCTCGGGCACCTCCTCAACCTCAGACGCCTGGGCATACCCATCTGGGGCTGTGGGAGGCGTTCGCCCTCCCCTCGTGAGAATGGGTTCTCGGACTGGCCCCACCTGCCCCAGGCTTCGCCTCACCCGGGCTCTCCGGCACTGTCCCTCCGCTTTGCGAGGGAGGCCTCAGCTGCCCTGCCTGGGGGGCCTGGGGGACCCCCGCCCCTGCGGCCGCTGCCTGCCCGCGCTCCCAGGCTCCCTCAGCAGCAGCCGCTCCTTGTCCTCCGCCGGGAGGAGGCGCTTGCGGTCACGTTCTCGCGCCTGCTGCAGGGTGGAGGTCAAGGCTGCTTCCTCCCACCCTGCTGCCGCGCCGCACAGCCCCCCCTGGGCCCGTGTGCCCACGCGTGTGCGTGTGCGCGCTCCCACCGGCCAGGAGCCGGCCCCGCGGGGCTGCTGTTCACAAACAACCGCCGGTGGCTCTCCAGTACCGCGAAGGCAGGCGCCGACCTTGCCCTTCCACCGCCCCGGGCAGGGCAGGCAGGCGGTGGGTGTGCCTGCTCAGAGCCAGCCAGCCCCGCAGCTGCCCTGTCCTGGGGCCCTCGCCATCCGTCGCCGGCCTCACCCCACCCCTCGGGGCACTCTGCGGACAGTGCCAGGGCCCGAGGGACAGAAGCCCCTGCTCGGCTTGAGCGCCGGGATGTGCCCACTCGGCGCCGCATGCCCACCCCACTGGGCGCTGCGCGGGGAGGGTGGGCGGGCCCTCACCTGCAGCATGTACTCGAACTGATAGATGCAGAGGCCCAGCTCGGCCATGCTGGGCTTGAAGAGCTCCCGCAGGCGGTACTCCTGCATGAGCCGCACGAACACGCAGAAGGCCTCCTCCTCCGGCATCTGGGACAAGCAGGCAGCGCCCGTGAGCGGCCACGCCGGCGCCCGCTCCTCCTCTTAGGGCCCCGCTGCCCCGCGCTCCCTGTCGGCCCGCTTGTTTACAGCCATGAGCAGAAGCCGTGCCGCGCTGCCCGGGCACTCACAACAGAGCGCTGCGAACAGGGCGCCTCTTAGCCGACGGCGACCTCCCAAGGCTCAAGTGACCTGCCAAGGTGACCTGGCAGGAATCGGGGAGCTGGGCTTGCGCCCAGGTCTGGCCACTCCAGGGCCCTGGCTGAGACGCCCTCCAGCCCATCCCGGCGTCCCTGTTCACCTCCTCCCGGCTCTGGAGACCACCAGCCCACGCCGCTGTAGCCGACAAATCCGGCTGTGGCCTTGGCTTGTCTACGCCGCCAAGTCCCCCTCCAACCGTGGCGTGACGGGGCCCCCCTCCAGCCCTGCAACCCTGGGCGTGAGGGCAGGATGGCCTCTCCCCAGCCCAACTGTCCTGGACAGGACAGGCCCAGGGCAGGTGGCGGCGGGGTGCCGCCCACGGTCTCATAAGTGGATGGCGAGGAGCGCTTGGGGTAGTGGGGACGTTGCTTTCGTCCTCGCGGGCTCAGCCTGGGGGCTGGGCCCGGCCGCCTACCTGCATGAGGAGGAGGCCCACGATGAAGGCGCTGCCCTGGCAGTAGCCCACTTCCCGGTCCACCAGAGAGTAGGCCTGCAAGGGGACAGTGTGTCAGCGCAGGCTCGCCGGCCAGTCGGCAGGCCGGCGGGCGGCAGCTCCCCGCGTGGGTCGCGCGGCTGGCCCACCTTCATGACGTTGAAGAGGACCTCCTGGCCCAGGCTGTCCTGGCCCTTGAAGAACTCGTGCTCCGGGTAGGTGCGCGCGATGTCCCTGCGGATGAGCTTCTCGCACGGGGAGGACATCTTGAGCAGCTCCGAGTACTGGTTCTTGACCGGCATGTCGGTGGCGCTGCACAGCAGCTGCCAGGCGATAGCCCGGAAGTGGTGCGGGATGCCCTTGCGGATCAGCTCCTGGCAACGGGCGGGGGGAGGCCGGGCTGACCCACGCCGGGGCAGCCTTGCCCCCCGCCATCTAGCCCCCGGGGGGCTGCCCCCGCCTCAGCAGTCACGCACTCAACGGGCGGCCCCCGATTCTTCACGGAACGTCGCAGGACAGAAAACGAACGCAGTGCCAGGGCCACAGCCGCTGGCGGCCAGCCCAGCCGCACCCCCCGCCCCCTGGCCTAGCAAGGTACCCTCAAAGTGCCCGCACGCCTCTACTTCTGCCCCCCTGCCAGGCTGGGGCATCGGCAGGCCCTGGCTCTGATGCCTGGCGGTCAAGTGACCGGGCCGAGCCCCAGTGCCCGCTCCTGCAGACACGCGCCGCCGCGCCACCTTGAGCAGCTTCTCCTTCCGGCGCCGCCACTCCTCCCACTCATTGGCGATCCGGCCCCACAGGATCCACGTGTCTTCCTCCAGGTGGCTCAGGTTAGAGGAGGCCGAGGAGCTGGACACCAGCGAGGAGCCGCTGTTCCTTCGGGAGCCGTTCATGGAGCGCATGGACTTGGAGTCGGCCTCCAGGAGCCTGGGCGGGAGGGGCCGGTGGGTGCGGGCCTGCGGGCGGCCCCTCCTGCACCATCCCCCGGCTCCAGTGACTCTGGGGCCTGGGGTCTGCTGGGGAGCCCGGCCTCTCCGCCCAGGAGCCGCAGAGGCCGCCGGCCAGTTACTCCAACTGAGGGGTGGCCCAAGTGGCGCTCGCCCCAAGACTGGGCCGCGGCCTGGCTTCCCTGACCCGGCCCTGGCACCGGCCCTGGAGAGGCTGCTTCCGTTTGTGCATTCCACTCTGCAGCGCTGCCGAGGACCACGTGGGCCAGCTAGTCTCGCACCAACCCCACAGGGAGGTCCAGCAACCCCCAGCCCTGAACCCAGGGCCTCGCCTGGCCGAGCACCGGGCAGCTAGAGCCTGCTGACCGCATTCTCACCAGCCAGCCCTGGGCCTGCCTGCCGCGCCCGCCGCTCCTTCTGCAGAAACCACAATACAGGCTTTGCTCCCCAGCCCGGGCCCCCACCACTTCCGGACAGACGCCGGGGCTACCCCACGCCCCTGCACGGGCGCCCCGGCCTCCTCCCAGGATCTGCTGACAGTCCCCCGTCAGCGCGGCCCACGCTAGGCCTGTTGGCTTTGCCGGAGCTGAACAATAACAAAACCCACGTTCTAAAGCCTGGGCAGGGCCAGAGGAGGACGGTGGGAAAGCCCGGTGCGGCAGTCAGAGGTTTAGTCTCTTTCCTGCACCAAGGTTCCCAGCTCCTCCGCCAGGTTCTCGGCCTCTGGAGCTATGGTCTCCCCATCTGAATTGGGGGGTGGGGGTATCTGTTCACCCGACTGGGAAGATGGCAGGATACGTCCCTCGTCCTGCCTTAGAGGTGGCTGTTAGTTTCTCTAGGCTCAGGCCCAGCTCCGAGGGTGAAGCAGCACCCAGGAACGTGTTGGGGGGCTGGGTCGCGCCCCCAAGCCCCTTCCAGCACCAGGCCCCAACTCACCGGTTCTGCTCTTCGAGCTTGGCCAGCAGCTCCAGCTCGTCAGGGCTGAGGTTCTCGGAGTCGGAGGTGGGGGAGCAGGTGGGGGCCGACAGGGCCTCCTGGGACGAGGAGTCGGGGCTCAGGGTGGGGCTGGCCATGGCGGGCAGGCTGCAGGCCGCGGGCAGGGAGGAGTCACAGATCTGTCTGGGGGAGACACTCGGGTCAGCACAGGGTGCGGTGCCCACCGGTCCTGCGGCCAGCTGCTCTGGGCCAGCTGCTGTGCACTCCTTGTCCACACCCCCCGGCCCACTGACTCCACGCTGGCTCCTTCCGCTCCCCATGCCAGCGGCTGGCCGGGACCGATGCGGTTCAGACGCCTGAGCAGAAATAGGAGGCGCACAGCTTGGGGCTGAGCTGCTCTGCTGCCCCGGGGTGAAGGCCAAGGGTGTGCTGACACCCCTGGGTCAGCAGGGCCAGGGTTGAAGCTCCCGTCACTCTGGCCTCGATCTGGGGACACAGGAACCCCGCCTGGGCCGCCCTCTGCCGGCCTCGGTGTGCCGTCCCCCCGCCGCGGCCTGTCCCGCGAGCCCCGCCTCGGCATCTGACCGTCCCGTCTCATCAGCCAAAGCGGGCTGCTGGCACGGCCAGAGACGGTTATTCTCTGCTGTTAATGATCTGGCACTGTGGTTTGGGCTGGGAAAGCAGGGACGAGTCAAAGACTGGGGATCTGCGTCACACGGGTGCAGGGCGAGGCCCTGCCGGGTATCCTGGTCAGGCCCGTTGTGTCCCGGGTGCCTGCTGGGGTGCACCTCTTCTCCTCTTCCTGGGGGTGGCCGGCTCTGCCCTCCCCAGGGCTCCCCGGACCCTGGCCTCTCGCTGGCCTCCCGAGGCAGCCTGCACCTTATAAACGAGCCTGTGCCTAAGAGCAGCATCCCTTGACCCTGTCCTCAGACGCGGCTCACGCTTCCAGGGCGTGTGGGAACTGTGCCTGCTTCTTAGCGATGCTGGCCACAGATGCTGGCCACCATCACCCATCCTGGGGCCAGGGTCAAGGTCTGGCTGTGACCCAGGGGCCGGAGGCTCTGCTCGCCCTGCTGTGGGCACTGCAGTGTCGGGCTCCGGCATCACCCAGGCGGGAGGCTCCAGGCTCGGGAGCTGAGGAGAGGAGGCCACGGGCACTTGGGACGGCGTGCTTTCTGCCTTGCCATGCTTCTCCTGGGAGCCTGGGCAGCCTCGAGGGTCTTGGAAGAAGGTGCCCTGGGCCGTGGCGGCAGGAAGAAAGCCTGTCCCACCGCCGCCTGGAGGGCTCCTTTGAGTCTGCCAGTCCCGACGCCTCTGGAGGAGATCACCATGCGCCCAAGGACCCCCGACCTGGCAGCAGGTAGACAGCGACAGGATGGCGCTGGGCACTCACATGGGCCTGGCCACTTCAGGCCACTGGGCACCTTCCCGCAGCCCAGGCTCAGCCCCCAGCCACCCCGAGGCCAAGGGCAGGCTGCAGTCTGCTCTGGTTACGCCCCAGGGCTGCCCTGCCACTCGGAGTGGGGAGCAAACTTCTTTGACTTTGGGGGCCCAAAACCTCCTTCCCTAGGATCCTGTGGCTCCTCAGAGCCACTGGTTTTTCCTTTCTCCCCCAGGGCCCCTCCAGTTGCCGCGCAGAGGGCTCTGCTTAGGCGAGTGGTACAACCTCGAGGCCATGGCTCTCGGCAGAACCAGACCTTTCTTCCCAGTGCCCAGCCAGACTCCTGCACCTCAAGGACCCAGCCAACCTCCCCCACCCCCCCGCCAGCTCGCCCGGGGTTAATCATTCCTCAGAGGGACAGTGGGGCCACCCTGGGCCTCCTGCAGAGCCAGAGTATGCGGGCAGGCGGCTGTGGACAAGAAGTGCTGAATAAGAGGGTTCGCTCTGGCAGCGAGGCTTCGAGGCGCTGAAGCCGTGTGGGTTCCAAACTTCAGCTAAAGGGGGGAGGCAGTGGAGGTGGCAATGGGAGCCTCGTAAGCACAGCTGAATTAGGGGAGGAGAGAGGCCCGAGAGCCAGAGACCACGTGCGGCCCGGGACACCCACCTGGCGTGGGCACCTTGGCCTCGGGCTTATGCCCTCTGGCCTTGCCACCGAACCCCTAAAGTGCCTGAGAGGATGACTCAGCTCCGCGTTTCTGGTGACAAACAAACAAACAAAAATCAGAGGCCATCCACAAGCAGAGTCTGTGGGCTGCTTGTGGCTTATTAATATGTATCTCACACAGCGCTAGAGCGGCTCGGCGCCGGGTGGAATCTGCAGAGGGAGGCCGAACCTGCTGACCCCCGGAGCTTCGTGCCCGTCCCCAGACTAGACACAGGGCCCTGGGGCCAGCCCGAGGCGCACACACTCGCACCCCCACCCCGCGTGTCCTCCACGCTGGCGTGCACGCACCTGCGCGGGCCGGACCACCTGTCCTTGGAGCCGAGGGGCTTTGGGCCGGACACTGGTGGCCGCGGCCCCGCTGCGTGGGTCACGCATGTTCTAGGCACGGATGTGGCATGGAACGGGCGGGTGAGACTCTACCTCCTGGGCCCGCGGCCACCGCTCCTGCACGCACAGAGATGCAGAGGCAGGGAGAGCACCGGGGAGCCCGGGCCTCAGACCCCCTCGGCCTGGGGTCCCAGCCCCGCAACATCCCAGCTGTAGCGCCCTTCGCCTCTGCTCCTCCTTCGCCTGAGGGGTCCTGGCCCTGCAAAGTGGGGCCCTGTTCCTGGCCCTTATCCCTCTGGCGCCGCCACTGTTGTGCCGCCCTGAGGTGAGCTGGGGGCAGCAGGCAGGCCCCGATGCCAGGTACCCCGCTCTCCCCCGCCCCAGGAACATCCTGCAGTTTCAGAGAAGCCGCCCCCCCGCGAGCAGGCCCGGTCTCCCAGGAGCTCCCTGCCCCGGGCCCCGCCCGGCCCTCAGCGATCACTCTCGGGGCTGGATAGGCCAAGCACGGGTGACCACGACACCCGCCCCCCAGCATTTCCTTTCTCCTTCACTCTGGCTGAGACCGCCACTGCTGGTTCCTGACACCGCAGCGCCCAGCACCAGCCCGCGACGGCGAAAGCGTCAGGACACGGTGGGGGGCTTGGCCCCTGCGGCAACTCCGGCGTTCACTGAAAGCCCGCCAGGGCAGGGCGCCGTCTTCGCTGGACAAAGCCCCGGCCTGCCCGGAGGACACAGAGGGGAGAACACAAGAAGCCGGCTTTCTGGTACAGACTGAGAGAAATGCCTGGAACCCAGTCGAGGCAGAAAGGAAAAGGGACAGTTCCGCAGCGCGCCGAAGGGCGAAGGGCCAGGCGGCCGTTCCACTCCCAGCTGTCTTGTCACGGGAGGGGACATCTGCACGCAGCTCACAGCAGCACTGTCCGCGGCCCCCGTCGCGGGAGCACTGCCCACTGACGGGCGAGTGATAAGCCAGCTCCGGCGCAGTCACCAAGGCCGGTCGGCCACGGGACGCCGTGCCGCTCTGTCCTACGGTGCCGCGCGTGGAGCCTCGAACACCGCGGCGACAGACGCAAGGCCCCGAGCCCCCAGGACACTGCCCGGCGGCGTCCGGGCAGCCCCGTCCCTGGAGGCTGGGCCCGCAGGCCGGGAGGAACGGGGAGAGAATGTGCCTGGGGTTTGTTTTGGGGCAATGAGATGCCCTGGCGTTGGACATGGTGAATGCTACGCAGCTCATGGATCTGCTGATGCCCGCTGCATGGCCCCGTTTGAAAGGGCGGGTTGATGTTCCGGGAACGCTATCGCGGGGAAGCAGGGGTGGGCTGGCAGAGGAACTGTGTGCAGAAGCAAGGGGACGGGGCAGCTCCGGAAGGCTGAGGTCTGCGGGGCCAACCCCGCGGGGCCTTGTGGGTTGAGGCAGGAGCCTGACAAGACGCGTTTCAGGAGGATCCTACGGGCCTGCTCCTGCCACCCCCCCGCCCGGGGAGACACTCCCCAAGCCCCAAGCTCTCCTGCAGCAGGCGGCCTGCCTGGTCCACAGGACTGCCCCCCGCCCCCTCAGGCCAGCCCCGGTGCTCATCTCAAGCCCTGTGCCGCCGGACAGGGCCCAAACATTTCTGGACAGTGCACAGGGGCCTGCCCAGCTCCCCACGGCTGCACCGGCCCACCACATCCGTCCCCAGCGCTTGCTTCCAGCCCAGATCTTTGTCCGCTCGGACTGACCGGAGGCACCATCCAAGACCTGCTTTGAGGTTTTGCGCCCCCCTCACCCCCCACCCCTGTGACACCTTTCCTACCGCTAGCATCCTGGCTCACTTCCCTCCTCTCTGAAAACACCCCCAGTTGTTACTATCGATGCACCATTAGTAACTAAAGTCTAGGCTTTATTCAGATTTCTGTTCCCACTAGCCTTTTCCGCCCCAGGAGCCACTTCCTGAGACAAGGTCTGTGCAGCTATTGTGACACGCGCCCACCCGCCCCCGGGCGCGGGCTTCTCAGGGCTCTTCGCGGGGGGCCCCAAGCCCCCAAAAAACCGCAAGCAAAACGCAAGGAACCCGGGCCGGCCGAAGGAAGAAAGGGAAAACCAACCCTCCCCGTCGAAGTCAAGGTCACAGTGACGAGTCCTACTGAGACACGTGCCCGCTCTGAAGGGATGGGCACTTCACTGTAAGAAAACTCCTAACTCTGGGCCCTCCCTGGTGGAGGAACAGGTTAGGGCGCAGCACTCGGAGCTGGCCGCAGCCGCTGCAGCACAGTGCCATCCCCGGCCGGGAGTGCCCCGAGGGTGCAGCAGACCCCTCCCTTCTCCCTGCTGTTCCCCTCAGCAGTGGATTTTGTCAGTTCACCTGTTCTGCTCCCTGCTCTCTGTTGAGTCCTCTCACCCCCTGCACCTATACCCCAGTTCTGTATGCAAAAATAAATAAATCTTAAAAAAAAAAAAAACTAACTATGAGAAAACATCTGATAAACACAGAAAAAGCCATTTCAGAAAAATCCCTGTCTTCCTCAAAACTGCCAAGGTCATCAAAACAAGGAAAATATGAGAAAATGTCCATGCCAAGGAGATGTGACAACAAACTGTCACGTGGGGTCCTGGGTGGCATTCTGGGAGAGAAAGAGGCCCCTAGAGAAAACTAAGGGTGGGTGAGGAAAGCACAGGCTTGCTTAGCAATGTGGCAGCACCGGCCCACACGCAAGCAGTGTCCACACTGACCCAGACTGCTCCCACAGGGCAGGCGGGAGTGGCGTGCGTGGGACACTCCAGGCTCTCAACATTTTT